ACATTCCCACTCTACCCATTCATCTTGTGCTCAAACCATTTTCTGTCTCCAGTGATAATACTACCAGCAGGAAGATACCCATACAACTAAAATACTGCCCTATAGTTTACACTTCTGCTAGGTTTAGTGCTAAACTAAATACTATCACCAATTCAATTTTCATCATTCGCTTGCAATTATGTTTATATATATGTTCACTTTAAGTAAAGTGAAGAGGTTTTCTAACATTCCAGGTATAAACTGGAAAATCTTAAACTCCAAGACTCAAGAAAGAAAAACCAAACCAACACATGGGGTGAAAAAAGGCTTAGGATTAAAGTCCTTATCATGGTTTTTGGTTGACTCATGGGCATTGAACCTGTGAAACTGGCTTTGCTGCACACTCTGTACTGGCAATTCAAGATGATATATATCAGTTAGAAGTAATTTTTATAATCTGAAGGGCTCACAGTTTAAAAGCTAGTGCTGCAAACAAGCTGCAACATCCGTAGGGTAAAGGAAAAAAAAAGGCACTGAAAATTTTTTTAAATGTTTGAATAACAGGTCTGAAAATTTTATGTCTGAAAATTCAAAGTCTTCATGCAAGATCTTTGTACCACTGAAATCTAATCATGTTCTATCATCAGATTTTTTTGTACCAGAACAAGTCATTCCTCTGTGCTGCATTAGAAAGAAGCCAAGCTTTCTGCAAGCTATACTGTGGTTTAGTTTTACTAGTGCAATGCATCAACCCTAGGACTGGCATCCTAATGAGGACGAGAACTGTGCTTTCATACAAAGAGGACTAGTTCCCCCTCCAGTCTGTTTAAAATATTGTTCACAGCTTTGAACACACTATAGCTACAGATCCTACTTTTCCTCACAGGAACTAATACAAATTATATGACATCTAGGTCAATATGCTCAGTGTTTGGTGTCTTGATTCCACATCACAGTAACTTGATTAGTTACAAGAGTCACCACCTCTCACTTTGCCAGCACTCCTTGTTCTCAGCCTGCCATTTGCCCTTGTGCTTTGGAGAACTGTTATTAAAGAAAACCCAGCAAGCTTCCCTGCATCTGCCCCTTGTTGTTCCTCAGAGCTTGGCTCTGCTGTGGGGTACACTTGGCCTGTGACTGCTCACATAGTCTGCCACCAGCAAGCCACAAATCATTTCTTGAATTTGCAACCTAGCGGTCTCATTGCACCCCAAAGCTCTTGTCTTCTCAGTCTGCTTGCTCCAGCACTGGGATTCATGATGTTAAACCCCTAGGGATTTATTTTAAAGGTCCTTAGTAGAATGTGTTTACCATTGAGACCCCAAGCTTATCACCCTGGCTGAAAAGGCACGGTAGTAGAATGTTAACACAGCAGCAGATTAGAGTGTTTGTCACTGTGATGGAACTTTTCCATATAGCAGTTCTCCCACCACAGGGTAGAGCTAGACAAGAACTGTAAAAAAAGATTCATCAGAATGAAAAGTGTTCACAGGAACACAGTTTTTTGACAGGCTCTGCTCACAGGAAAAGCTCCTCAGCCTGAGGGTGGCAGATCTTAGCAAGACTGATGACAAGAACCATGTAATTATGGCACATACCTAGAACACAAGAGCTCTTTGGGCATGGGAACCAAAAGGTGGCCACCATATAATGTGAAAAACTTCCAAATACATCTTGGCAAGACATGGGGAAAATTTTACATAACAAAATATTTTGGTTTGTTTTTCAGATGAAAACTCCTCCCATTTCTTTACTAAAGCTTGAGTTTAAAATGGGGACAGAAAATTTGAACAATGGAAGAGGAGAAACCCACGTTTTCCACAGAAAGAACAAGAACATATCAAGTATATGTCATATCAAGGAACCATCCACTGTGCCTCACGTTCTTGGTGCCTTCTATTTCTCAATGGCTCTGCTACTCATTTCTGCCAGCATGTTACAGACAAAACTGAGTGTGTACACTGGGAGTTTAGATGCAACAAATAAGCTGGTCAGGGCCCCAGAGTTTATGAGAAGGGACAGAACATCTTGAAAGTACAACAGAGCACTTAAATCACAAGGAAAACAAGATTATTTTATGTTGTTTCTATTTCAGCCTGGGCAAAGCTAGATTACAGCAAGTCTTGACAACCCTCCTTGTTCAAGCACAGGTCTTTGCTTAATCAACAAATAAGTTAGGGAAAGAATTAAAACTTTTAATTTGTTGACTAAGGGTGAGTCCATGTCCTTGTTTCTCTCTTTACTGCTTTCCCATTTTTCTCATCCTGTGTATTTCTTCTATTAAATACTTTACCTTTGGGCTGAAGAATGGGTACTGAGGGTTTCAGTCCCCTCTTCCTGTTTGGAAGACTACTGCAACAGAAAAAGCAATGTCCTGTGCTAATACCCAACTACAGGAATTCAGCAGGCAGCCTCTAAGCCACTAATCTGAATGTAATCCAGCTATACTTTTGAGCAGCACCGCAAAGGCAAAGCAGGGTTATTCATCCTCACTGATACATGTGCATTTATCTGAGTATTAGCTGGGAAATTATATAAGTTCCTATATAAGAGCACTCTTTCCTGAATAGTAGCAAATCCATACATACAAAGTTTGGGAGACTGTTATGCACTTTGATTTACTTTATTGAGTAATCATCTGATAGCTACAATGGTGAACTGGAAGTTAAAAAATAAAATAAAATAAAATAAAATAAAATAAAATAAAATAAAATAAAATAAAATAAAATAAAATAAAATAAAGAAAAAGAAAATGAAAAAAGAAGAAAAAGGAAAACCAACCCCTCTATTAAAAAAAATCCACATTGTATTTCCCCATATTTTGGGAAACAGGCTGAAGAAAACATTCTACACTGTAGAAGACACATGTAACTGCTGATACCCATGTTTTGACATTGGAACTGCAAGTCTGAAACATATAGTTCTAAAGCCTCAACCAAAAGAGGCTTAATAATAATAATGGCACGGATCCATCACCACTGTGAAGATGTTGACACATTAAGGATTCTGGGATACCAATCTGGTACAATCAGTAATATACTGGGTTCCTGTGAAAGATGTGGCATTTCTTCTTAAGGTCAGCTTTCAGAGAACTTTGAAAAACAATGTTCTAGACTGATTACTTACAGTACTCTTTTGCTTGCAGAAAAGCAGGAGAGTCGTTCAATAAAAACTGAATATATGACCATTTTTCTGACTGGATTTGATTAGTTGCATAACTTTAGCAAGATTATCACAGTGTGATCTAGTTAAGCTTTTAGGATTATATGAACATCAGCACCAAATTAATCTTGGAATCAGACAGCTGAGATACTTGTAAACTCTCGTTTGTCTCTGACCACTTATGAAGTCTCTCCCGGTCCCACTGTTTCAGTAAGCATTTGATAGTGCAGCATTTTATTGACAAAGCAACACAATCTGGACAGATTCCTCGCTTCTCTCTCCTTGCAAGAATAGCATGCCACCTTGTTGAACCCCCAAGGATGCAAAGTGGGATTATTTTACATAAAGTCTCCCTTTGTAGCATCTGAAATAAAAACCTTTCCCCCAGAACTGCCACTGTTTTGATAGTGAATTCCATGCTGAGTTGTATAACTGGTTACTCAGTTCTTTGGCTGATTTTAAGAATTGCATTCAAAAGTTACTCTGTGTTAGAGGCATTTAGAAAATATATTTATACCTGGTATTGATATTCTTTCAAGTACTCTTTTAGTCTTGTTGGTAATGGCAGCTCCCAGATCTGATTTGTGCTCTTGTTTATAGCTATTCTGCAGCGGTGTTGCAGAGATGGAGCAGATGTATAGAGGGGTTTGTTCAAGTAAAGATGAACTGTTCCATTTGAAGGTGTTTCTGTTCTATCCTTGCACATAAGAACATAGTACTCAATCAAATGCACAACGCTGTTGAACTGTTTAAGTCTAGATCTGACACAAGTGATAGAGTCCAGTCTAAACTTGCCATCTTGATATTCTATACGTAGATTGGTCGGTCCCGCTGACGTTTTTACTGATATAGTCAGTAGATACTCTGAATGAGAACTATCCCTAACCAAAAAGGTCCCTTCAGGGGCATCCTGTAACCTTTCTTTGGCTTCAGCAACAGTCATGTTGCCCCAGTACCATCCTGTTAAAAGACGAGAGAAAGAAGGGATTTGTTTACTCCTGTTTGTTTTAAAAGCTGCTCTCTAGCTGATATACTTCTAGTCACCCATTTCTTTTGTTGTTGGAAAGCTAAAGTCCTGCAGGCACAGTAAAATTTTATTTGCTGTTTAAATTAATTTGTTTTACAATACATCTCGTTTTGACAGAGCCTTCCAGGTCACTTTTTATTTACCTATGTATGCCTACACATGCACAAACTTTCCTGCAGCCTCCTGCGGAGCCGACACTGGAGCCGCCGACCCGGCGGGCCGCCCCTGGAGTAGCAGGGAAGCGTCCCGCGGCTCCCCGCTGCTCTCCCGCCGGGGCCGGCGCTGCGTCCGCAAGGCACAGGCTGGCAGCCCGCAGAACGCCCGCTTTGGGTAACTCTGAGCAGGCTGCTGTTGAAATGAGCTTTGTCTAGCGATCGAAAGCTAAGGGATAAGAAAACAACTCCGGCGAGCTAGCTGCGGTCCTGGCGCGGCTGCGATGAAGACAAAAAGCCCTTCCCTCCTCCCGCAACCAAGCCCCGCGTCCTGCGGGGCCGGGCGAGCCGCCGCCACGCCGGCGAGGGGAGCGCAGGTACGCGGGGC